CTCTTATCTGTCTGAAAAAATAACCTTCCATTTTTTCTTAACTCTTAATTATCTTCTTTCCCAATGCTTTGTTACATAAAACAGGTTTATAAAGTAAAATTTCAAACTATGGTTTGAAATTATTTTATACACAAGAGTTAGAATAAACTATCATCTGTGGGCTAGACAATATAACATGATGATAAAAAAAATGAGGGATGGGGAAGAAAAAGGACAAAAATAGTCTTCCCAGCTGTAGGAATTTTTTTTTGAAAGAACAAGAAGTGCACTAGCTTAAGTTTTACAGCATTTGTTCTTTCTTGTGACTATTAAATTTAAATCTAATTTTAGTTCAGAAAGAGACATGGCCAGTGTGAAGTTTTGAATGTAAGACACTATGCAAAGCTTTTCAGAAATCATTTTTGTTAAGATAACAATATGCATTTCCCTAAGGCATCTAACTAAAAATTAAATAAAATATACCAAAGGTTTTTGAATAATATACAATTACTTCATTGTTTTATTTGACCACACCTAAATCTCTGGTCACATTATGGCCATTATGAACTATTAGCAAAATACTATTTTATTTTTAAAGGCTTTTATGAAAACCAACACAAGAAAACACACAGGCCTAAAGTTTTTGTCTCCAAGGCCTTCAGTATCTATAAATTATCTTTAATATTTCCATTAGTTCATTAGCTTGTCATGTCTTCATTATTTGGATCTGATCTAGATAAAAACAAATAAAAATTCACATTAAAATACAGTTTTCTTGTAGGATAGCATCAAAAAAATTCCATCACTGTTACCATTCAGAAACATTTTAGGCTATTAAGGAGTAATGTACATGTTTATAGATTTTGTGGTACCTGCAGAGAAATGTCCAGAAGTCTAGTTTTTGATAGACAGTTATGAGATACTATTTCAAAATGTTCAATATTTACTAAAGTTTTTAATTTCCATATAATAAATATTGTAGTAATTTAGGTTTCTCTACATCTCAGTCTTCAATCTTTGCTGACATCTAGTGGTGTTTTGTAGTGTAAAATTCTTGACTGGAAAGTTTTAGAATAAAGTGTTAACCAACTATATGAAACTGTTAGTTGCTGTCCAGTTATTTTATTTCAAAAAGTGTATATTTTTATTGCCAAAGCCAAAACTAAATTTCAATATCTTATTCTGTTAAATCTTTTAACAGAGTGATGTAAAGAGGCATAATGATCTCTTTATGTAGATTTATCTGCTATCTTTCTGCTTGCTGCAGGAAAATAACTTGAGGTCCAGTGCCTCTTCTTGAAAGCTACTTTTGAGAAAAGTGCCTCTAGTCTAGCTGCTCTTTTGTTATGGCAGCTCACAACACTGTTGCTCTGTAGGTAACATTAAAGCAAGCAAACTTCAATAAGGCAGGAGTAGCAAAATCATTTTCCTTGAATTGCTTAAGTACATGGCTTATGACAACTAATGGAATGGCTAGACGTATAAGTGATGTTACATGAAATAATTCACATACAGCATATTTGTAATGTGAGTATGAACAATTATCTTGGAATGAAGTTCTATAGATGGCTTCTGTTTCAGCATTTGTTGTTCCCTTCTCTTTTAACTGCTTTTGGTTTTAAATATTTGTTTCAATTTATTGTTTTTTTAGTGTGTTGCATTCTGCAACCCTTTTTAAGATGCTTTTACACAGGAAACAGTAAAAATGCATCTTAAAAATTGTGATGATAATAATAATAATAACTTTTGTGTGTGTGTTGTATACATACATATACATATATATATAATTTCAGCTGCTTTAAACAAAAGGTATAATTTGGATCACACTTAGATCAGAAATTAGAACTGTTATTGTATTATTTACAATGAATTTAAATGACTTAGGATTTTTTAAAAAAAAGGAAATGAGTATTTTTATATTATATTGACTTTAATCATAGGAATAAAAGTATTGCTGATATATTAATCAAAATGGAATTTTTAAAATGGAGGTAGCCTTGTTTGAATGACAATATGTCATTGAAAGAAGCATCCAAATAATTGTAAGGATACTTACTGTGTAATTTGATCTGACAGCAGAAATAGGCAGGAAAAAACAAAATGAAATGATGGAAAAATATTTTTTTTTTAAAAAAGGAGGGCTTATGGAAAGAAAAACAGGAAAGAAAAAATTAAGACATACCTTGCAGCCAGTCCACACCTTCTTGTAACCCTTCTCCTTTAAGAGCATCACTAGCACTGAAAGAACACACTCTTGTAAGTGATAAAAGCAAGTGAAGAAATATTTTTAAAATTAATCACGTACACAATGGTCTTTACTTATAAGATCTAGTTTCAAACATAGATGGTATCAAATGTGAAATTATTTCCTGCTTTCTGATCTGCTGAAGATGTTAACACACTGGATTTTCTCTACATGCCCACATTGGTGCATGCCAAGTTATCTGCACTACTTTATATCTTAATAGCACTTTAAAAAAAATTCTAAAAAACTGGCATCAAAGACAAAGCTGCCAGTGTCCTTTTTTATTTCCAAGAATGGCTCTAGGCCCCAGACAAATCCCCTAAATTTGGGGCCAGTTGTAGTCCAATGCTTTGTTTGTAATTGTGTCATCTCCCCAGAAAAAATGGCAATGATAAAGCAGGGGATTAAAGGAGGGATGGCAGAAAGCATTCTAGTAAATTGGTTATTTAACCAATATGCATGGTTGTCACTATGCAAGACCTTTCTCCCAGAAGCCATTTTGGAAGAGGTCTTAAAATTCTGACAATTCTGACTATGCCTACACAGGCCTGTCTCAACATGCTATTCAGAACACAGTATTCAATATGTGGTCAGATACAGAGGAATACATGTGCTCTTTTTATAACAGTGTTTAGCAGGAATTAGATTTCTACAGCATTCACATCAGACTAAATATGTATTTCTTGTGTTTTTATATTATAAGCCATTGCAAAAATTTCATCAAATATAAGTAGATAAAAGTAAAAACAACAACACACCAATGCTTGGTGGGTGCTATTATAGAATTGTTTCCCTTTAAATATTAAGTTAGCCCCTGACACTGATGGTCCCTCCAGAAAGCAGTAAAACTGAGCTTTTACCAAGTGCCATTCATACTGAAGTACATTTTCTATGTTGTTGGAAACTACTACCATAAGTTTTATCAGGGATCATTTCAGTGTAATTATATTAATATAATTTGGCTTTTTTTGATGTATTAGAGTATTGTTATGGATTTTACAAGTTAATTTTAATGTTTAGTTAGTTGCCACTAACATTTAATTGTTTCACATTTTAGACTGTATTATGGATATTTATTCTTATTCTTGCTGGGAAATCCTTGTGAGGTCCAGCAGCTGGAATGTGTATTTAGCTGTGACAAAGTCATGTTGCCTGGGTGCACCACCAGGAGGCTAATCTTGCACTCCAGGACACTGCTGCCCAATGGTTAAACAATCTAAATATCTGGCCACAGGTTGAGTAATCCCAGTAACTGCTTGTACATAATTTATTTATTTATTTATTTATTAAATTTATATACCGCCCTATCTCCCTTACGGGACTCAGGGCGGTGAACAGGCGATACTAAAAACCACGATAATAAATAAATAGTTTCTGTTCTAAAATCGAATTAAATAACAGGCCTGTTCTAAAAACACACCCATACAAAAATCCCCACTGAAACATAATCAAACTACGCTAGGCCGGCTGCACGGAATAGATGGGCCTTCAGGGCTCGGCGAAAAAGGCGCAGGTCCGCAACGGTACGTAGGTCGGGGGGTAGGTCATTCCAGAGGGCAGGAGCTGCCACAGAGAAGGCTCTCCCCCTGGGGGTCGCCAGCCGGCATTGTCTGGCCGACGGCACTCTAAGGAGGCCCTCTCTGTGGGAGCGGACTGGTCGAAGGGAGGTGTTTGGTAGGAGGCGGTCTTGCAAATACCTAGGTCCATTGCCATGGAGCGCTT